TCAGTTTATTTGCATGTGTATTTCAAAGAATATTTTCCCCAAATATATGTTTTAATTGCATATCTGAGTGCAGAAAGGTACTGAAAGTAGAATTAGCTACTTTTAGCTATTATATGCAATAATTTCTGTTTTGTTTTTTGTAATGTTGTCTTGTGTTTCTTTTTTATTTTCTTTTAATTGTGAAAGAAAATTAATAAAGACTATTATATATATTAAAAAGTAAAGTCTGACTTCCTATACATAAACTGAACTCCTGTTTTTCATCTTCCAGCATTAAAATATTCAACATTTGCTCCAGGAATCTCAAGAAGACACACTGCAAATTCCAGAGCTGAAAAACATTATGGTAAATATCTGGCATCACCCCCCCCCCCCACCCATCACAATAACCCAAGCCCAAGAAGCAGTCTTTTCTAGAATCTGTTTATTTCTCCAGTTTACGAAAAGGAAGTAGTTGAGATTTAGAATAGTCCTGTATGTAAAGCAGATGAAATATTCCCCATATGACACAATATCCTTCTTCTTACCAATGTGGACTGAAATCCTCCCATCAGCACATTGAACACAGTCATAGCAACAGACGTAATTCCCCTGCTGAACAATCTTGCTGTATCCTGGCTGGCAGTTCTCAACACATCTGGAACGGGGTGGCACCTAATGGGAAGCACAAAGATGAGGATTCAGGAAGGTGAAAAGTTCACTTTAACTGAGATACTGTGGTTCATCATCTCTCAGTTTCTTTAGAACTAAAGAAGAAATTTTAGATTGGATAGTAATTGAGATTATATTGGATAGTGGAGAAATGTGGAAAATGGTGACCATGGACAAGTCACACTCTCTCAACTTCAGAGGATGGCGATGGCAAAGTCCCTCTGAAGAAATTTGCCAAGAAAACTTCATGATAGGTTTGCCTTAAGCCAGAAATTATCTGAAGGTACACAACAGCAACAGTGAAGAAATGAAGATTAGGTTATGGAAAATTCTATAGCTGGGAGAAAACTCCATGACTTTTAATGGAAATTTGCAAACATTCGTTGGTTTGTTCTCTACATTTTCTTGCTCTCTCACAGAAAGGCATGGATTAAAGTTGTCCCACTGCACTCTGCACAGTCTGACAAGTGGATACTTTCCCCATATTTAAAGACGAATCTTACAAAAATACCTTTCAACTCGAAAATTCTATGATTTTAGCATCCAATCTATTTGGAATGCCTGTTAATCTCAGTGTGCTAAACATCACCTTTCAGTGTCAAAAGTGATATCTTGTTTTTCCTCTCGTATTAGTTGCAATGCCTCTCCCTTTCAAAGAAATAAAGGAAAATCTACCTTCTTAAACTTCTGATTCCAAACAATGGAACTGCCATTCATGGTGAACCTTTTGCCGGAAGAAGCCTGGGGGTCGATCCCTCCAACTCGGACTTTGTGAAAAGATTGGTTAGAGAAAGTGACTAAGTTGATGATATCAAATCCAGAGGCCAGATCCCCATTCTCATCAAAAAAGACTTCTTCCCCAGCACTGTTGTTAAAACAGATGTGTCTGAGAAATGAGCGTAGCTAAATTGGAGCAGGAAAAAATGAGAATTACATGGATCATTTGGGGGGAAGAGAGATTGGCTATCCAACTGCATCTATCATCTATCTGTCATATTCCACTTATTCTAGTTCAGGGTCCCCAATTCTTATGACACGAATCCAAAGACATGCAACCGAAACCATTTAGTTATTAGGGTGTAGAAAAATTAAAAGTGAGTAAATACCATTTCCTGTTAAAACAGAGAAGTAAATAAGACTGTAAAGAAGTTTTTAAAAATAGAATGAAAAGGGGGAAAGAAGTACAACTTCCACCATGAGGAGACTTATCAGACTGCCAGAAATAGTGCAGCTTGAGGCCAATTTAATTATCCTGGCTCAGTGCTAAGGAATCATGGGAACTGTAGTTTATTGTGGCACCAGAGCTCTCTGACAGAGAAGGCTCAAAAATACAATTCCCATGATTCCCTAGCACTGAGCCAGGACAGTTACAGTGGCCTGAAGTTGCATTATTTCTGGCTGTCCGTAAAGGCCCTCTTCTGCTGCAGGAGTTTATTGACCAAATGCCTTTCTGAAAGTAGGCTAATGAAATGAGTGCCGAGAGGTAGCCAGCCTAGGTTCCCATGGAAGGGAATTTCACAGCCTTGGAGCAACCAGCAAGAAGAAACTCTGTCATGCTCTCAACAAATGGTCCTCTGATAGTGGTGGGATTAAAAAAAAACTTTCCTGCAAACATCTAAAATTCAAACTTCATAGCTCCTACCAGGTACTTTTAATTTTCCTACAGAAACATGGGGATATGTGGGAGAAGATCCTGAAAAAAGTCTTTATAAGAACTTGAAATTTTTCAGTCTCCTCTTCCCTCCTCTTCTCATACACAATCCCTGAGAATGATCTCTGATATGCCTGTTTCAAATGTTGAGTGTCTGAAAACTACAGACAGTGTGGTGTGGTGGTTAGAGTGCTGCACAAGGTTCCCATGGAATGGAATTGTAGAGCCTTAGGCCAACCAGCAAGAAGACACTTTGTCAGGCCCTCACCAAATGTTTGTGTGATAGTGATGAGAAAGTCTTCCCCCAAAACATCTCAGATTCAGGCAGGAGCAGAGTATTTTTTACCCCCAAACCAAAGCTTTATATGTCCTGCCAGCTCCTTTGAACTCTCCTTAGAGAAGCATGGGGACATTTAGGAGAAGATCCTGAGAGAAGCCTTCATAAAAACATGAATATAGCAAAGTCTTCCCTCTCTTCCCTTCTAATACACAATTCCTGATGATGGTCTCTGACATTTCTGTTTCACACATATCCATACACACACACACACAATGAAAACTACACTCACTGTGGTGTAGTGGTTTGAGCATTGCATTATGATTCTAGGAGACCAAGATCTGAATCCCATCTTGGTGATGGAAACCCACTGGCTGACCTTGGGCAAGCCACACTCTCTCAGCTTCACAGAAAAGCAAAGGCAACCTCATCCCTGAAAAAATCTTAAGTTCATTGTTGATTTGCCATATGTTGGGAATGACTTGAAGGCAAACTCAACAATTACAAATATAGAATTATAATTAATGGCCCAAAACAGATGAGCAAAAAAAGCCCACTTCAGGGTGGCTTGAGAGTCTGGCGATCAGATGACATACACACACCCAAGCCACTCACAAGCCACCGCCAAGTTGCTACAACCTGGAAAAGCTGCCCTGAAAAGATATGGTTAAAAAAAATGCTCCTTTTAAGAAGCCGATTTGAAAAAGGTATGATGGGCCAGATTGCAGCTGTGTGCATGTGGTTGCTGCAATGCCAGGGAAACCGGCTCCAGGGTGGCCCTGATCCACTTTTTTTGGGCAGTCTGTTTTGTCCCAATGTAACTGTGGGAAAAGCTTTTCTCTCTCTGCTTAAGTGACTCAGCTTAACCGATGGTTCATGCGGAAGTTAATCTAAGACATACTATTAGCATACCTGCCAGGGCTGAATATCCATAAGTTTCCAAATGTTTTCAGGCCCCATTGCTCTCCGTTTGGCTCGCAGGGAATCAGCAGCATGGAGAGCATGGGCTACAGCATAGACAGCATTGTAGACACTATAACTCCAACTAGACATTCCCATTTCAAAGACAGATCCAGGAAGGGTTCTCAGTCTCTCTTCCCCAGTGCAATTGCTAAAGTTTGCATAATTCTGCTTAAACATTGGGGGAGAACAGAGAAATGCACTGTACCAAAACTCTTTTAGGAAAAAGATGTTTGACTGAATTGGTTTTACGTTCTCGAGAAACTCCTGGAATCCTGGAACCACATTTGTGTGGAGGGCAAAGGACAAGGTGCCATTGAAGGATTTTTCTGTGAATCTTCTTCC